TTCATAATTTCACTCTATGCATTGTGCGAACAGAGCAAGGGAACACTGCATGGTTTAAATCAAGAAGGTTGTGCATCACGGCTATAACCTTTCCCCATTTCTGTTCAATCTATGTTCTGGACAAATCATTCGAGAAGCTAGACTCTATGGAGACAAGTATGGTATCAGGATCAGAGGCAGACTCAACTTTTGTATGGAGATGACACAGCCTTGTTTGCTGAAATTCAGGAAGACTTGAAGTGCTGCAGATCAAAGGTTATAGCCTTCAATAGGGATTGCATCTTGCTTTTCCCCTTGCCATCTTTGAGGACCTTGTGCTCACTCCCTTTTCAGGGCTTACCCAGCCCTTCTCGGGGCTTGCCCGGGTTTGGAAGGTGGCAGTAGCCATGACAGTGTTTGAGCCAATGAGAGCAAACATGGGCAAGTTTCACAAGGGCATCGACAGGTACAATCCTGAGAACCTGGCCACCCTGGAGCGCTACGTGGAGACGTCTAAGGAGAATTCTTATGACTTGGAAGCCAACCTCGCTGTCCTGAAGCTGTACCAATTCAACCCAGCTTTCTTTCAGACCATGGTCACTGCCCAGATCCTGCTGAAAGCCCTCACCAACCTGCCTCACACTGACTTCACTCTGTGCAAGTGTCTGATTGACCAAGCCCATCAAGAGGAATAGCCTACCTGACAGATACTCTACCTCGGAGACCTGCTGGAGACCTGCCACTTCCAGGCCTTTTGGTAAGCCTCGGATGAGAACATGGACCTCTGGGAAGACACTACAGGATTTGAAGATTCTGTCCAGAAATTTGTCTGCCACGTCGTCGGCATTACTTACCAACACATTGACCGCTGGCTGCTGAGATTCTTGGGGATCTGACAGCCAGCCAGCTCCAGGTGTGGATGAGCAAGTTTGGCTGGAGCGCCAGTGATTCGGGCCAGATCTTCATCTGTAACCGGAAAGAGAGCATGAAGCCCAAGAGCATTGTGGAGAAGATTGACTTTGACAGTACTTCCAGCACCATGACCTCTTCCCAGTGACCTTGCAGCAGTGTAATAAAGATTTGTTGACTTCTTAAAAAATAAATAAATATGGATTCCATCTTAACATCAAGGAAGAAAAGTCCTTCCTGGCAAGCCAATAAGCAAAAGCAACATTTATGATAAATGAAGAAAGGATTGAGATGGTCTAGGATTTATTGCATCTTGCATAGATCCACAGTCAATATCCTTGGTACCAGCAGTCAATAAATCAAAGGTGTGTTGTATTAGGAAAAATCTGTGAAGGACTTCTCCAAATTTCTAAGAAGCAGTGATGTCCATTTAAAGACTTAAGGTGCACCTTATTCAAGCCATCATCTTTTCATTTACTTGCTATGCATGTGAAAGTTAGATAGTAACTACTGATGACAGAAGAAAAATCTATGCCTTCTAAGCTGTGGTGTTGGAGAAGAGTACTGGGTATTCCCTTGACTGTTAAGAGAACAAACAAGGGTGTCTTGGAGAAAGTACGATCAGGATGCTTCTTAGAGGCGAAGGTGATGAAATTGCCTCTCGCATAGTTTGGCATGTTGTTAGTAGGGGCTAGTCTTTGGAAAGAACGTCGTGCTTGGGTGAGCAAAAGAGAGAAAGATCCTCACAAGATGTATCAACACAGTGACTGTAACAAAAGATTCCAGTATCAGATGATGATGAAGATGACCCAGGATAGAACAGGGTTCAAATTCATTGTTCATAGGTGCACTGTGAGTTTTGTGCTCAGCACCACCTAATCATAACCAGAGTATGTACATAAATACCCACTGAACTGTGCAGCCAGATGAGTGCGTTGTGTCTGTGTGTGCACCTTGGACTGCCAAAACAAACTTGGAAGAACTGCAGCCAAGGGCTCCTTAGAGGCACAGGTGGCGAGATTTTGTCTCACCTTGTTTGGGCATGTTACCAGGAGGGACCACTCAGGAGCGAGACATCAAGCTTGGAAAAGGCGAAGAAGCCTCTCAGCGAGACCGATTGACACAGTAACTGCGGCATTGAGCTTTAAGCTTAGTGGAGATTGTGAAGATGCGCATATCAGGCAAATCTGTCCATGAGCTTGTACCTGAGTTTGCCTTGAATTGGAGTCAACTCATTAACTACTGCCTCATACCTCACTTTATTTATTCTTTTTATTGTTATTTGAGTGAAAGTTTACAAAGCAAATTGGCTTTCCATTCTCTCATTTATACCTAATTTATTTTACAACATTTGTACCCAGAGTATAGTTGTAGTCTTCTCACATCTCCCCTGGGATTGTTGTTTCTTTTAATCCCCTTACTGCCCTGTTCTCTTTATCCTTTGGGAAATGCTGTCATTTTGACCTTTATAGTTGCCTGTTTTGAGGAGGGGGTGATTCTTGGTGCTACTGTTCACCTGAGCTTAGAAGGAGGAGTGGCTTCCACTTCTGTAATAGCTTGCCCCTGGAAACCCTATGAGCCTGGAGAGAGAATGAAAGGCACCCAAGCGTCGAGGACTCTCCTTAATAGGGTCGCTATGAGTTGCCTGCGACTCGACGGTACTTAACAACAACAACTGTTCACCTGTAGCCCTGTTTATTGATTGGCTCGAAGTTGAGCCTTGGGGGGTGAGTTTTGTCCAGGTTTGAGGGACGCCTAAGGGATATGGTCTCAAGGGCCCCACCAGTGGACTAGTGAGCCTGGTCTTTATGTTTTTGCATTTTGTTATACGTTTTTTTACCCTGCTCCATCAGGACTTTCTGCTGTGGTTCCTTTGGCATGGTAGCGGGCACCATCTAGTTCTTCTGGTGTCAAGGTCGTGCAAGTTGAGGTTCACATGGTTCATTAGTCCTTTGGGCTTATTCTATCTGTGTGTCTTTTTTTATTCCTCCCTCTTTGTCCCAGAGAAAGACCAATAGTTGCACCTTATATGATTCCTCCTAGGCTTGTAAGACCCCAGTCACTTCTCGCCAGACTAGGATATAAAACACTGCTTTGTGGACATGTTATTCCAGTTCACCTTTTGGGTTTTGGGATTGCAAACAAATACTTAGCAACTGTGACACAAAGGTTCCTTTAAGTACAGTGAGCATATGTTGTTGTTGTTGTTATGTGCCATCGAATTGCTTGCGACTCATAGTGACCCTAGGTACAGCAGACCCAAACCCTGCTCTATCCTGTGCCAGTCACACTGCCTCTGGCACACCCATCCCGATTACCCCAGTCACTGAATCAATCCATCTCATAGAGGGTCTTCCCCTCCTATGCCATCCCTCCACCCTCCCAAGTATGATGTCCCTCTTCAAGGACCTGTCCCTCCTTACAACATGTCCAAAGTATGTCAGACGAAGCCCCAGAATCCTTGCCTCCAAGGAGCAGGCTGATTTAACCCTTTGCAGGATGAATCTGTTTTCTTGGCAGTCCATGGTACATTCAATACTCTTCTCCAGCACCACAGCTCAAAGGCATCCATTCTCCTTCTATCCTCCTTGGTCATTGTCCAACTCTCTGATGCATAACAAATGATTGCAAAGACCATGGCCTGTATCAGACACACCTTAGTCTCCAGAGTGACACGATTGCTCTTCAGTACTTTGGAGAGGTCCCTAACAGCAGACTTTCTCATCGCAATAAGTCTTTTCATTTCCTGGCTGCTGGTGCCAAGAGTGTTCACTGTGGAGCCAAGCAGACTAAAGTTGTTAACAATCTTAATCTCTTCACCATTCATCCTGATGCTGCCAATTGGTCCAGTGGTGAGAATCTTTGTCTTCTTGATATCGAGCCTCAATCCATACCAAAGGCTGCAGTCCTTGACCTTCTGCAGCAAGCGTTTCAGGTCCTCCTCAGTTTCAGCAAGCAGGATTGTGTCATCTGCATAACGCAGGTTGTTGATTGATCTTCCACCAATCCTGAGGCCACACCTCTTCTCATAGAGCCCGGCCTCTCGGATAATCTGTTCTGCATACAGGTTGAAAAGGTATGGGGCACATCCCTGGCGTACAACCTCCCCAATTTTGAACCGTGCAATGTTTCCTTGCTCTATTCTGACGACTGCCTCTGGTCCAGGTATAGGTTTCGCATTAGCATGATCAAGTGTTCTGGGATTCCCATTCTTCTCAGAGTCACCCACAGTCTGTTATGATCCACACAGTCAAACACCTTTGCGTAATCAATGAAACACAGATAGACATTCTTCTGGTATTCTCTGCTTTCATCTAAGATCCATCTAACATCAGCTGCAATATCCGTAGTACCACAACCCCTTCTAAACCCAGCCAAAAGCTGTCATCAGGTTGATTCCGATTCATGGTGCATCGTGTGTATCAGAATATAAGCTGCAAAAAAAAAAAAAAAATATAAGCTGCGCTCCCCGGGATTTCCAGTGGCTGGTTTTTCAGAAGTGGATCCTGAGGCCTTTCTTCTGAGAAGCCTCTGGGCAGCTCAGACATGTAGCAGCCGAGCATGTTAACCGTTTGTCCCACCCAGCGATCCCTGCAAGCATTGTGGTTAGTAGATGCCAGAAAATCAGTTCCACGTCCTCTTGACTCACACACAGCAAAATGAAGCGCTGCTCAGTCCTGCATCACCCTCACAGTCATTACATTTGAGCCTGTTGTTGAAACCACTGTCAGTCCATCGTATGAAGATCTCCCTCTGTGCCCATCTCCTTTACCAAGTGTCTTTTCCAGAGAGTGAATTCTCCCAATGACGTGTCCTTCGTGCATGGGATTGTGAGCGCACTCCTAGCCTGATCCTTACCAGACTGCATTGTAGATGTTTTTTGTCACCCTCACTACATGTGGGAAACTCTTAAAGCTAGGAACCCACTCTCTTTTCCCTTACACTGCTCACCTAGTGCTTCATGCATTGCCTGGCACTTAAGCCCCAGTAAAAGTCTGTTGCATAAAGGAACATAAGTTCCTCTTTCAGTTTGCCTTGAATTTGACTTTGACTGCAGTTTCCTCCCTTTGGCCTGCAGGATGGTGCCTCGCTGAGAAGACAGCTGTGGCGCGATGGCAGTCTTTGATACTCCTCAGGAAGCCTTTGGCATCTTACGTCCGGTCTGCGTCCAGCTCACAAAGGCCCAGACGGTGGAGAATGTTGAACATCTGCAGGCACAATTACGGGCCGTGAGTGACTCTGCCCTTCAGGAACTTCAGCAGTACATCCTCTTCCCTCTGCGATTCACCCTCAAGACCCCAGGCCCCAGAAGAGAGCGCTTGACGCAGAGTGTGGTGGAGTGCCTCACATTCATCCTCTCATCGACATGTGTGAAGGAGCAGGACCTGCTGCAGGAGCTCTTCTCCGAGCTCTCATCCTGCCTCTATTCACCCAGCTCCCGCAGACCCGCGCCCGTGGCAGAGGAGTTGAAGTTGGCTGTGATCCGGGCTCTCAGTACCCTAATGCACTCAGCTTATGGGGACATCATTCTGACTTTTTACGAGCCCTCCGTCCTACCTCGTTTAGGATTTGCCGTGTCTTTGCTACTAGACCTAGCTGAACAAGAGAAGTCAAAGCAAATAAAGATTGCTGCCTTACAGTGTTTACAAGTTCTCCTCTTCCAGTGTGATTGTCAAGACCATCCGAGGTCCTTGGATGAGAATGAGCAGAAGCAGCTGGGGGATTTGTTTGCGTCCTTTCTGCCTGGAATCTCCACTGCACTGGCCAGGGTTATCACGGGAGACTTCAAACAAGGTCATAGCATTGTCGTATCTTCCCTAAGACTCTTCTGTAAAACCGTGGCCTTCATTATGGCTGATGAACAGCTCAAAAGAGTCTCAGAGGTCCAAGCAAAGCCTGCTGTTGAGAAGAGATTAGCAGAATTGATGATTCACAGGGAGCCAGATTGGGTTAAAAATACTGGGAACAAGTTAACTATCCTTATCAAAAAGATAGTTGAGTGTGTCTCGGTTCACCCCCACTGGAAGGTGAGGCTGGAACTGGTGGAACTTGTGGAGGCCCTTCTGTGCAAGTGTAGTCAGTCCTTGGTTGAGTCTGCTGGGCCTCTCCTGAAGGCCCTGGTGGGTCTGGTGAACGATGAGAGTGCAGAAGTGCAAGCCCAGTGCAATAAAGTTCTGAAACGTTTTGCTGATCAGAAGGTAGTGGTAGGCAACCGAGCCTTTGCTGACATCTTGTCAGACAACCTGCATTCCCTTGCAACGTCTCTCCCCCGCCTTATGAACTCCCAAGATGATGAAGGGAAATTGTCTACTCTCTCCTTGCTACTTGGCTATCTAAAACTCTTGGGCCCCAAAATAAACTTCATCCTCAACTCCGTGGCCCATCTTCAGCGCCTCTCCAAAGCACTTGTCCAAGTTCTCGAGCTGGATGTGGCTGGCATCAAAGTTGTCGAAGAGCGACATTGGAACTCTGACCAACTGTGCGCCTCTCCAAAGACCTCAGCCACACGGCCGTGGAATCACATCCAGAGGAGGTATTTCCGCTTCTTCACCGACGAAAGGCTTTTCCTGCTCTTACGGCAGATCTGTCGCCTTCTCGGTTTTTACGGGAACCTGTATTTACTTGTGGATCACTTTATGGAGCTGTACCGGGAGTCTGTGGCTTACCGAAAGCAGGCCGCCATGGTCCTGAATGAACTGATTATAGGCGCCGCTGGCCTGGAGGGGGAGGGTCTCCATGAAAAGCCAAATGTTCAGACGTGCCCAGAGGAACTGAGAGAGATCGTAACGTCGATAATTGAGGAATACACAAGCCAAGAAAACTGGTATCTGGTTACCTGTATGGAAGCTGCAGAAATGGGAGAGGAGCTAGCTTTGAAGCAGCCAGGCCTCCAAGCCATCACATCTGGTGCCCACACCTGCCAAGTTACATCTTTTCCAGCCTCATCAAAGCCAAGTCCTACCATTTGCTCCATGAACAGCAACATCTGGCAAATATGCATCCAGTTGGAAGGGCTTGGCCACTTTGCATATGCGCTAGGAAACCACTTCCGTTTGCTGTTGATGTCAGCCCTCTATCCCATACTAGAGAAGGCCGGAGACCAGACCCTGCTCATCAGTCAGGCCGCCACGAGTGCCATGATGGACATGGCTCACGCCTGCGGCTATGAGTCCCTACAGCACCTGATCAACCAGAACTCAGACTATTTGGTGAATGGGATCTCGTTAAATCTGCGCCATCTGGCTCAGCACCCTCATACCCCGAAAGTCTTGGAAGTCATGCTGCGGAACTCGGATTCCAGCCTGCTTCCTTTGGTGGCAGATGTGGTTCAAGATGTCCTGGCCACCCTGGACCAATTTTATGATAAGAGAGCGACTTCCTTTGTCAGTGTTCTGCATGCCCTGCTGGCAGCATTAGGTACATAGAGCGTCCTCTTTAATACCATTTTGGGGACAGAGCTAATATCCTCCTTTGCCTAACCTTATTGTTTTTGCTGTTTGTGGTTATGATATGGAGGGCATTATTTAGACCACAGTCTATCGAGTCCCATATATACCATTGGGTATCTCCTTTTTTTTTTTAAACTTAATAATTTCTACCGCTTACTGAAATCCTGCTCTGTGCTTGGAATATAAACCCTGCAGACCAATTATAAACATTATTCTTGTTTTACAGATAATGAAAAAAAATAAGGCTCGATAAGATCCTGTTCACCCAGGGTCACACAGTTAATAAGAGGAAAGTCAGGATTTATGACAGTTTGGTCTCACATCAAAATTATTTTCAATATACCAAACTGCTTACCCTAATGACACTTAGAGCTAACAGTATCTGTTCTAATGAAGAGAACAAGAATAACTTTCAGATCTCGGATTTTCTGGAAATACGCTATCTAGTATATTTCCCTGCAGTTATGTTTTCTATCTTGGCATTTAACACACGTACCACTGGCCGTACGTGACTGTTGTTGTTTACTGTCAAGTAAGAACTGACACACAGCTGACCCCTGAGTGGGTTTTAGGAGGCTGTAAATTTTACAGGAGGAAATTGCCTAGCTTCCTCCCTCAGAGCAGCTGGTGGAATCGAACCTCTGGCCTTTGGGTTGCCGGCACAGCTCCTGCTAGACCACCAGAGCTGTCTAGCCATATGTAACTGTACTTAATTAATGTTAATTGAAATAGCCACATATGATTAATAGCTGTTGAACAGAAATGGTCCTTTTAACCTTTCAAGTGTATGGCAATGGTTTGAGTTTTTCCTCCTCTCTTTGATCTTGTGCCTGTTAGAGGTGCTAGCCACCAGTGAAATAGCAAAAATTTAGACACAAAGAATCTCACAACTGAATGGTTAATCCCAGGTGACTGGGGTAGTATTGCCCCGCAGCTGATGCCATTTCCAGTGTTCATTCATAAGCATTCACATAAAACATTAAGCATTCTTTTGTTCATTCATTCAATAAAAAGTGCCTCCCCTATCTGGCACTGTGCTAGGTAATGAGGATACAGCGGTGAACAAGACAGATAAACTCTCATGGAGCTCTCCCGTTACTGAGAGAGAGATAATAACCCAGTAAACAAATCATTAAATGAGCTCATTTCAGAGTCTGATAAGCATTGCAAAGAAAATATATGACCTAATGGGAGAGAGAAACAGAGACAGTCTACTTGAAGTGGAGTGGTCAGGGCGGGCCTCTATGGGGAAGCAGTGCTGGAGCCAGACTTGAGGCTGAGAAGGGCCTGCCAATCCATACGCACGATCACATTCTATTTATGGCTTTTAAGAACATTCAGGCAATGAGACCAGCAGGTACAAAGACCTGCAGGGAAGAAAGGGCGTGAGGTCTCTGGAAAATAGAGTGGAGGCCAGCAGGCAGCGTGGTGCAAGGTGAAATTGGAAAGGTTGAAGGACAAGTCCTGCAGGGTGTATAGATCACGGGAAGGTGTTACCTTGCAAGCACTAGCAGAAGCCTGTGTTCTGAGCTGTTTCCTGGGAGGAGAGAGCAAGACAGGCCTGCTCCTTGCCCTCAGGAAGACCCTCCTAAAATTGGCTATTTGTATGTTTTAGACTGGCTTCTGCAGTCTGAATATATACACTACATTTGCACCCTCAGAGAACTGTACCAGTTTTAAATATAAAGCTTAAAAAGATATTAAGGCCCTACTCCGTCTACCCTCTCGAGATTGTATCAGTTTGGGCTTTGAAAATGGAATTGCTGGTATCTTGGTCAACATTGTAAACTCCTGTGTAGCACTTCTCCCCCTTCCCCCCATTTGTTACTTGATGTGAGAGAGGGATGTTTCCATTGCAGAAAGAAAAAAGAGAATAGCTAAGATAGACTCAGAAACATCTTAGGAAAAGAAGCAAAATTGAGCCTAGTTTTTTGCAGGGTTTGGAGTGACCTGGAATACACTTGCATTGTGAACTATGACACTATGAAACAGGCAAATAGGACCCAAAGAAGCCTTTCATGCTGGTCATCGTCATATGTTCAATGATGCCAGCCCTCACCAGTGAGACTGGAAGAGTTGTTGCACAGACCTTCCAAAAGATCCTAAGAGATACCAGTAGATGTTTAGGAGTTAAGTTACCACCAACACAGCCTTTCACCATACATTGACTAAGAAATATTAGATACCACAGCAGAGGCAAAGGCCATCAGTGATACTGATTCTTAGGAGCAACTACAGACTGGCTGATTGATTATTCAGAGCAGCATAAGGATGGCTTTGCAAAGAAGTTATCTCTGAACTCACATGCCTTGGAACTTGGGGATGGTGCCACTCCCATGCCGAGCTATGTGTTCTTTTTATAAGGAGCTCTGCAGCATGCTGTGATGCTATTGTGTGACTCCAGCGGTTCAAGCCCACCCGTGGTTCTGCTGGAGAAAGCTGAGCTTTCTCCTTTCATTAAGATTTACAGCCTTGAAACCCCAGTGGGGGGGGGGTCTTTGCTGGTAGGATTTGACTTGACAGCAGTGAGTTTGAAGGGTTGCTTTTTAAAATGACTAAACAGTATTATATGTATGGCTGGATTTAATGTATCTAATCAGTCATTGGTGAGCATTTTGGTGGTTTCATTCTTTAGGCACACATCCCAAACACAGGCCCTGCAGTGAATACTTTTGTAATTTTGAAAATATCTATATCAGTAATAAGTTCCTAAAAGTAGTAATGCTGTTTAAAGGGTTCTGCATTTAAATTTTTGACAGAATATCAAATTGCTCTCCAAAGAGGTCCTGCCAATTTAATCTTCCCTCAGCATTGTAAGAGAGTACCAATTTTGCCACGCCCTCGCTCACACTGTATATTACCAAGCTTTTTGATCTTGTAAATCCAATAGGAGAAAAATAGCAGCTGATTATGGTTTTAATTTGCATTAGGAGTGAGTTTGAGCTTCTCCTAATGTGTTTAAAAGCCATTTGTGAGCAGAGCTTTTTTTAAATGTCTGGAACTAGGCTTGAATCTAGAAATATTCCTTGCAGCCTGTCTGCTTCCAGCAATGTAAATTCTGGGTCCTGGTTTATAACCAGGAGCCCCGGTGGTATAGTGCATAGCACCTTGGGCTGGTAACCAAAAGGTGGGCAGTCCAAACCCACCCGCTTTTTCTCAGCAGGAGGGCAGGTGCTTCCTAGAAAGAACTGCAGCCTCAGAAACCTAACGCAGAGTCACTGTGAGTGAAATGCAACTCAGGACAGCAGGTTTGGTTGTTTGGATTTGAGTTTTTAACTGTTGGGACCATATTGGTCAGTGTACTCTCGGGACCAGATTGACGTCTGCAGATGGGCTTTGAGGAAATGTCCGTAACTGCTCTATGCATACAGGAACCTCCAGGTACCGGATTGAGGGTGTCAGGCCTTTGCCCTCCTCTAGTCCCAATTGCCTTACCCTGGCGTCTCCCATCTGCTGTTCCTCTGGCTCTCTGCAGATGCTCCTTGATAAAAAGGAGATTAGCAGGTGCTAAAGGTTATCAGAGGCTTTTTCCCTGCTGTCTGCAAAAGGAGATTGCTAGACCACAGCAGCGATTCTCAAGCTGCAGTGTTGCTGTTGTTATTGCTTCATTCTTTAAATAGAGCCTTTTTTGAAAGGAAACCTTAGCGGGAAGCCCAGTACACAAAACAGGTGAAATTAGAGCTGCTCTGATTACAGAGGGGTAGAGACCTTGGTGCCCACCCCTTAGTGTGCTATCTCCACGGTGCCCTCCCCTCTTGTGACCCCTGAGGCCTTCCTGCACCTTGGGGCACACAGTTTAAAACCACTGGATGCAGCAGTGTTAGGGTTTATTCTGTGATGATAGAATCATCAGCGTTACCAAAGAAGGGAAAGCATTGGTGAGACAACAGCCAGCCACCAGAAGCATTTTTTGTTGGAAAAGCCCACACAGGACTCCGTCGTCATGATGCCCGTTAGAGCCTTGGTTCTGCCAATGAGTATATTCTGTGGTCTCAATTTTGCCAGTTGTATGTACGTGTTTCCCAATATAGTGTGTTCACTTTGCATGTGTTCTAAGTAGAAATGGTTTTTGATGGTGATCAAAAGCTGCTGGCCTCCTTCAACAGAGTCTGGTGAGAGTCAGACACTAAACAACATATAAAACTGAAAATGTCATTGCAGCCTGTGATACTTTGATATGAAAGGAAAGAAGATGATGCTACCTAAGGGAATATATGTGAGACCCAGATGAGATCATGGACTCGAGGAATAGCTTTTCTTGGCCAGTTATGTTTGTGCTGAGACATAATAAATGAGTTGGAGCGATCCAGGCAAAAGCAGGGGGAGGCTGGTCCGAAGGCAGTGCATTCTCTCAACTATTGCTCAGTCAATTACAGGCTGACCTCCTCCTCTCCCCTTCTCACCACTGCGCTTGATTCATCTCTATAAAAAACAACGGTTCAAATCCACCAGATGCTCTGCCGGGGAAGGAGGGACAATCTCCTCCTGTACCAGTCAGATCTGATTTGACGGTACAAGCACACAAAAATAATAAAATTTAAAAAAAAAAAAAAGTAATGGAGGAAATATTCTAGACCAGAGAACCAAACCAAAAACTTATTGCCATTGGGCTGTTCTGACTCATAATGACCCTCCATTCAGTTTCTCCAGCCGTAAATCTTATCAGGAGTAGGTTGCTTCCCCGTCCTCCCACGGCGCAGCTAGTAGATTTGAACTGCCAGCCTTTTGGTTAACAACCCAGTACGTAACCAGTGTGCCACTGGGACCAAAGTTGTGAGCAGTTTAATACCTGACGCATTTGAGGAACTGGAAGATGGTTCGATGACAGGCAGCTAGCTCAAAGATAAGGTTAGAGAGGCAGGTAGGGACTGGAACATTGAGGGCCCCCACAGGCCACACCAGGGAGTGTATCCTCCTTGTGATATGCGAGTGTGTGGTATTGGTAGCACAGGCAGTAATAGTAACATTTTGTTTCTAGCCCAGTGGTTCCCAGATACAGGACAACTCCATGAGCAGAGTTTAGGGGAGCATCACTTGAGCCAAAGACCAGCATTTCCTGAGAAAGGACCTGAGAAGACCGCCACAGCCGAAGACATTGAACAGTTCGTGCTGGACTACCTCAGAGAAAAGGACGTGGCGGAGGGCAATGTCTCGGATTTTGATGAGGAAGGTAATTTTTACTTCTTTTAACTTTTAACTTGACTGATTGTATTTGGGTTTGTTTTGGTTTTGGGTTTTTTTTGTGGGCTGTTTTTGTTTTCTTTTGCAAATAGGTTATTATGTAAACAATAAACATAATTACAGGATGTTTAGAATTAAACAGGCCATGTAGAGTCCTCCCCCGGCTAACATCATACTCCTTATTTTCTTGTGCAGTCTTTTTTCTATTTTCTTGCTGTAAGGCTGTTTTTATATGCTTGCAGCCACAGTCTAAACATATTGTACCCTTTCTGCATTTAGTTAGAAATAACTCTCCATGTTGCTATAGTGTTTTCATAATTAATGTTTTAATAGCTCCTCCTAAGTATCCATTCCCCTGTGGGAAGTTGAGGCTGCTTCTGGCTTTTCACTTTAATAAACAGTGCTGCTGCAGCGGAGGAGTCTGTGCATGTAACCTTTTCCTTCCTTTCGCATATTTCTTTATAAATTCCCAGAAGTGCGATTTCTGGGTCAAGGATATGAACATTATTTTCTGCTTGCCAAATTGCCTCCCAGAAAGGTTGTATCAATTTGCACCTTCTCATCAGTGCAGAACTAATACCGGTTTCACCACAACCTTGCCGACATTGGCTCTCACCGATTTTCCTTCTTGCTAAATGAAGTAGGTGAGAAATGGTTCTCGTTATTTTCTTTTGTGTTTCTTTGATTACCGGAAAGGTTGCGCGTCCTTCTGTACGTTTCCTCCCTCACAACTTTTGGCTTGCGTCATTTGTCCACTTAAGTGTTGGAGGGAGGAGAGTGTAGTGTTTTTCTTACCAGTTGCTCTGATAAAGGGAAGGGAGTTCAGGCTCGTTGAAGCCCTGGCCTGTTGTTTTATTCACAAGCTCAATCTGGAGCTGCAGGTCACTGAAGGATTAATAAATTATTAGAATCTCCTCTGCAAATATTAAATGCCAAGTCATAATGAGCTTGGTGGTCTCCCAACGATCCTAAATCTAACTGAGTCCCAAATTAGTTTGTTAGACTGGAATCGAGCAGATTTCTTTATTTTGTTGGCATTCCCTACTCTGAGACTCTTGAGTAAACTGAAGCCAATACTTGCAGGATACCAGGAAAGAGGAGCTCAGTGCAACTAACTGCAGCAAATTCCTTCTAAGTCGCAGGGAGGCATCGCAGGCCCCGGATAATGATTTCTGCGGAGTTGAATCATTGCCTTCCCCAAGAACAAGCGTTTGCTGATTAGAAATCTATCAGGTTTTTCCTTCGTCAGCTTTGCTTCGTGAACCAGTCCGATCCCTTTTTTTTGGAACTACACCCCTCACCCACACCTGGAAACCCCGAAGAGGAGGGGTCTGGATCCCTTGCACTCCAGCTTTGCCCTTCTCGTTTGAAATTCAGGCAATGCCAGCAAATCCATTCTTTCTCGATTAGGATCTTCTGGTCCTAGTTGATGTTCACTCGAAGCCGACAGAATGAATCAAACCTTTCTCCCAATAACAGAAACATCCACATCCCTCGGATGCTGTTCTGCAGGAGGTGGAGTCCCTGCGACAAATCCTCCTCTGGGGAGGAAAGCACAGCCCTGTCATTATTGTGATTATCATTCGTCAAGTCCACACCACACACTTGGCATTGTGAAGAATGTTTGGGGAGAGGTTGGCTTGACATGAGTTTTTTGTTTTAAGCACAATAAAAGCACCTTGTATAGCTGGAGGTCCCTTTCCTTAAGAAATCCAGACATTCCACAAATGTATTCCTATTTGTCTTTTCTGCACCTGTTAGAGACAGGTGTGGCCTCTACTGTAAGATAGGGTTTTAACAGCAGAGAAACTGAAATGGGAAAAAGACACAGGACCTATTCAACCAGTGGAAATGAGTACAACTCCAGGTGGTGGCCAGATAAACAGTGGTCAGGGTAGAGAGCTTGGCCTGGGGTCTCAAGTCTTGCCTCTCCTTTTGTTGTTAATTTGCTGAGAATATATGCAGTAAAGCAGATACCAGAGCAACAGTTTCTATATGTACAGTTCCCTGACATTGGCTATGCAGCCACATTCAGCTCCTTTTCTAAGTTGTTCCCTGTTAACAGAAACTCACTGCCCTCTCAGCTTCCAATCTAATCTTTTGGGATGCTCTTGTCAGATGGATGCATATAGATAGATATTAAGAGATAGACATTCTTTACTAGTTAAGCTAAAGAATTGTTTAAGAGTTCTTTAAGAAGACTTCAGGAGATATATATGTATGTACTTGTGTATTATATGTATTGACCATTCCATGGACTGCGAAGAGAACAAACAGGTCTGTCCTGGAGAGGGTGAAACCCACATTGCACCTTAGAGGCAAAGATTGTGAAGCTCTATCTCACATACTTTGGGCATGATGTCAGGAGAGGCCAGTCCTTAGAGAAGGACATCATGCTCGGAAGGGCGGAGAGGCAGTGCAGGACAGGAAGACCCTGGATGAGATGAATTGACCACGGTAACTGGAGTAATGAGGGCAGATGTGTCAGAGACAGTGAGTTTGGTCCAGATAAGGCAGGATACAGAGCTGTTGTTCATAGGGTCATAGTCAACTCAATGACACAGAACAACATGTGTATATTTTTTTAAAGTATTTTATATAAAGATAAAAGGATTTATATTAATTTTACTGTTAAAATGTTAAATGAATGTAATCAAAACTCATTATAGTCTTTATTTTTTTTCATACTCGTTATTGTTTTAATTTAAAGTTTGCTTGTCCCTTATGCAGTTGCATATTCTAGATAATAAAAGTGAGACAATAGTGCTTGCCTCAGCAACACAGGTACTAAAATCAGAACGATACAGGGGAGATTAGCCGGGCCCCTGTGTAAGGACGATGCACATAAGCGTTCCGGTTTTTTTTAAAGTGAGACAATAGTTGCCGATGTTCATCTCATGTAACCCTTTCATAAACCTGTAAGTTTTGGATACTTTATCCCGTTTATCCAGTAGGAAATGTATAAAAGTTACTAATAGGTTCTGGAGGTAGTGCTTGAACCAGTCTTCTTTGACCAGCGCTCTTGCCCTGTGCATTGTACCATCCCGCCCGGGTATTACCTGCCATGCAGGGATAAGTAAGACCTCATCCTGGTCGTCCAGAAGTCTTCCTGAAGAAGACACAATGGAGAAACAGGCTGAGCTTGAACGTGTTCCTTCAGCACTGCCTACCTAGCATGCACAGATGGGTGGATGAACTGGGAAGGATTGTTGGCTTGAGGAGTAGGGAGTTGTTAAGACTTGTTGACTTGACTTGGCCTGTGTGGGGGCTAATGCTGAGCGAGGAGACCAACACATCTGGAATACAAGGAGAAGTGTAGGCATCTGAGTTTTGCAGCTCACGCCTGTTTGAGCCTGGTCACAGATGGCTGGGGATGAGTTGACCAGAACCCAGCCAGATAAGGAGAAGATGATTCGTGCTATGAGCTAGAGTAGTTAGCTGCAGCCAGATGGCTTGCTGACTGGACTTTGTGGATGCAGATGCTCAAAGTTTCCAAGTTGAACAAAAGATCCTTCAGCGAAAGGGACATGCTTGTTCCTTCAGAGTACTGGTTTGATTGTTGTTGTTGTTGATTGCCTTCGAGTCATTTATGACTCATAACGACCCCATGAACAAAAGGCCTGAAGCCCCTCTACAACTATCAACATTTATCGAAATTCATAGGGTTTCCAGAGGCATGCTGTTTAGGAAGCGGATGCTACTGGTTTGGTAGGGGTAGGCAAATCAGAAATTGGCCATCTAAAAGGGGGACCTTAGGGCATGAGGCATGAAGTAACTGGCTTACACACTTTCACAAAAGTAGTTATTAGCAAGATGACTGTAAGGAGGATAAACTCCGCAATAGAAATGAACAAAATATAATGTAAATTAAAGACAGTACAAATCACAATGTACATGCATGAAACACAGTGTATATGAATAATAAAATTATTATTATTATTATTTTTAAATATGGTTTCTTGGCGCTGCTTTTAGTCAGAAGTTTTCCTAGCTCATAGGAAGATGGTCATACCTTCCCTTTAGACAGGGGATAAAGCTAAGGGGAAAGGAGGAGAAGTAAAAAGCAGAGCTGAGGCCAGCCAAGGGGTGTCTCCATACTAAAGCCCTACCCCCTTGTGCTGGGGGTGGGAAGACGGATGTTGGTGGGGGAGGGGTATTTTAGATGTTTATTAATAGAAATTTAGGAAAAAAAATCAGAGGAAAAAATGAAAAGCACTTATTATCTCCCAGCCTGCCACTGTTAATATTGTTTTGCACTTCGCCCATGCAAAAATTTACATAATAGTGCTCACGCTGCGTGTGCAGTTTTGTGCCTGCTTTTCTCTTTTTAACACAGCGTTGTTTCATAAGCATTTTTCCTCGGCCTTAAAGCCCTCAATAAACACAAATTTTAGGAACTTTATAGCATGTCACTTATGGGCACGCCGTGGTTTACATAATTGTTCCCCTTGGGTCGACATGGAGGTTTTCCCTCTTTTATAGCTGTTACTGCTATGATGAATTCTTGAGTTCATACAGCTTGACCCAGGTCTCTGGTGGGCCCCTCAGGATCCTTTCCTAGCCGCTATCCTCTGGGGTGGCCCATCCTGGAGTCTGAGGTTGGGGGGATCAGGCTGCCTTGGAGAACTCACCAACCTCAAAGCCTCTCCTCTCTTCCCAGAGGAGCCGACAGCCCCTTGTGAAATGGACGAGAGTGACACGCGTCCCAGTGTGGAGCCACCGCTGCCCATGCACATCCAGATAGCCAAAGACGTGATGGAGCGCTGCATCCACTTGTTGTCAGATAAAAACCTGAAAATCCGCTTGAAGGTCAGTGTGCAGCCCCTTCTCCACATTAACGGAGCAGCAGGACCAGGGGTTCAGTCCGCTTGGCAGTGACTACATGATGAGCAAGTAGCTTCTCTTATCTCCTGGTCCATATGGGGTGGCCACAAGAGGCACTTATCTGGGGGAGGGCAGTCTGATATATTTCTGTGGCAGCTCAGATGCCAAAAGGGACCCAAATCTCTTGAATTAAAAGCCAGAAAGTTCCAGGGATTCGAGTCCCCAGGGGGAGGAAAGTGACGTCCTTTGGAAAGGCTATCGTTTTCCGAGCTGACTGAATATAGGGTGCAGGCTCTAAAGTCATCTAAAGACAGCTTTGGAGTGGTTATTCTTCTAAGCCGATACCAGCCCTTATCTCTGTTTCCATTTCCATTTTCATTCCAGGAGAAACATCAACATTTTTCTTAATCCTTCATCCTCATTTCCTGGCAGTTTTCCCAAGCAGCAGCCCCATCTGCAGGGACCAAAAATACCTAATAGTGGCTTGAGAAACAGGACTCTGTGGTAGGGAGAATGGTGAGGAGTAGGGCTTCCAGAATCACCTGGAGGAGGATTTTATACCTACAGAACAACACTGTAGCCTAGCCCACTCCTCCAGACCCAAGCAAGAGTTGTTGTGTCCTGTCAAGTCAGAACCACTCATGGCTGATCCTCGAGCGATTTTCAGAGGCAGTAAATTGCAGAGGAGGAGATTGCCCATCTTTCTGCCACAGAATAGCTGATGGATTTGAACCACATTCCTTTAGGACTGCAACTCAACTGTTTTACCACTAGGCCACCAGAGAGCTTCCCAAGCAGAATTTAAAAACGCAGATGCCTCAGTGAATCACCACCAGTGATGAGAGCACATTGCCTCTCTCAGGGGTGTGGGCTCCGATAACCTCAGAAATCTCTGCCTTAAGCAATTTGTCCAGTCTTTGAGAGACACTTCTTTTTTTTATTTATTTATTATTAATTTTCATGAAAGTTTACAGAGACTTAGAGTTTCCATTCATTCATCGTTGCACTTTTCTCAGACACTTCTTAGTGTCTGTTCACAATTTCATTCAGCAAGCACTTCTTGAGTGCCTGTCATACGCAAGGCTTTATGATAGGTCTCCAGTTGGTATTTAGCAAACTCCAGTGTCTCCTCCAAGACCCTCCTCAGTGTCCTCCTTCGTGGAAGTACGACAGCAGCTGGATGCATACCACAGTTACGAAGAGCGTGGACTTTGGAGTCACAGCTACCACCAGGCCAGCTCCAGCTCCTGGTGACTCACATGTGTCTGGTAGAACTGAGCTCCATGGGGTTTTCAGTAGCTGAGTTATCAGCAGTAGATTGCCAGGCTTTTCTTCTTAGGTTGTTCCTGGGTGGACTCAGATGCCTGGCCTTTCATTTGGTGACCAAGCACATTGACCACTCACATTGACCACCTTTCAGGCCTACACACTTTGAGTTTGAATCCTGACTTTACTCCTTGCTAGCCAGGTGACTTTGAATATGTTCAGTCACCTTTTTGAACCTTCAGGTTTTTTTATCCATAAAATGGAAATCTACCTCACAGAGTTGTTGATTACAAGTATAATCTCACTAATGGATATGACATATACAGTCTGTCATTCAATAATGTTAAAGGCCCTGGTGACACAACAGTTAAGTACTCAGCTCTGAACCAAAATTGTGTTGGTTCAAACCCACTCAGCTTTGCAGGGAAAGGACTTGATTATTTGTTTCTGTAAAGATTACAGACTAGAAAATTCTTCAGAGCAGTTCTCCTTTGTCACTTGGAGTCACTAGGAATTGAATTTACCTTGACAGCACGCACCAGCAGCTGGTCTGGAGGGCGTGAGACAGCTGTGGTCCCTGTCTTCACGGAGCTTCTCATCTAAAGAGACCACCTACAAACAGACACACCTGTACACGTTGAGAAAGTGCTTTGAAGATAATAAACCAGTCCTTGGAAAAAGACCAGTCAGTGTTCCTGGAGAAGACCCTTGGAGTGGGGCGGGGGGAGCTCTGGTACCTCAGCGAGAGGATACTGCACTACTGCACTGCCAACCTTTGAAGCTGGGAGTTCAAATCCACCAGATGCTGCTCAGGGAGAAAAATGGTCAGTATCCTCCTGAGCTATTTATAGCCTTTGAAAACCCACAGGAGGCTCAACTGTGAGTCAGTTCTGACTATCAGCAGGGAGCTGTGAGTTGTTGACGCTTGTTACTGTAGAAGGACAACATGCTTGGGAAAGTAGAGGGTCCACGGATGAGGAGAAGCCAGTGACCACAGCAGAGGTGTAGCCGAGATTGGGAGCGTCGTGCAGGACTGGCCAGTGCTCTGTTCTGTGGTGCACAGGACCTAAGAACAACACCTTACAGCACCTAAGAACAACAGCTTAATTTAAAAGAATGACACATCTGGAAGAGGTACAGTCAGAATGCTCCACCAACAACTAACGTCAATTAATTGATTAAAACTGTGTGCTAACTTGTGTATATTATTGTTGTTGCTTGTAAGGAATGGAATTTAGCATAGACTTCAAAATAACCTGTATTAGAATAGGCTTAAGTAGAAATTTTACTGCTAGTTTGAGTAGTTTGTAACTAGCCAACACCCACCGGCAAATAGAGCTAATAGGGACTACATCCAGATGTGTGAACCCCGATGAAATGTGTGCTGTGAACCGATTACTGACGTAATGGCTATGAGTAGTACTATATAAGCACCCGAATTTGTAAGGCATATCATCGGGTGGTGAGCATGCTTTATAACCCCCTACCTTTTACCTTTGTGTGTGAATAAACCGAGCATTCGAAAAGACCGAAAAAAAAATGCTCCTTGGAAGCCAGGGTGCTGCAACTTTGTCTCATGTAACTTTGGACATGTTACTAGAAAGGAGCAGTCCCAGCTTAAATGGTAAAGTGGAGGTTCAGAGACAAAAAGGAAGAACTTCACCGCATTGTTGACACACAGTAGCTGCAGCAGCAGGCTCAAGCCCAGCAATGATTCCGAGGCTCCAGGGCCAGGCAGCGTGTCATTCTGTTCCACTTAAGCTGCTGTGAGTCAGAACCTGTTCGACACTGATTAGCCGCAGCATATTACAGACTAGTAACTCACCCAGGCAACCTGCTCTGAACCAGACTCCACTGAATAAGATAGCTTATTTTCTGACCTAGAGCAGGTCGTCAGGAAAGGCCTCTGTAAGGTGGTGACATTTAATATTTAACATTTAAAAATTAAGAAGATGCCAGGTCTGCCGAGGGCCAGAGACAGGGAGAAAAACATTGCAAACAAAGATAACTCATGAGTCTGTGAATCACTGAAGTGTGGTAACCTGCTCAGTTAGCGACAGGACTCCCTCACCCAGCCAGCCGGGGATAGCAGAGCCGTCCCCACTGCCCTTCTGGCCACTGTACTACGACACCCGGCTCCTGCTGCACTCCTCTGCTTTCTTTTATTCCCTCTGCCCCTTTCGTTTGGTGCTTCTGCCCCATCTCATCACAGGCTGGCACTTAAAAGTCATCCCGGAAGGATGTACAGCCCAGCCTGCCCTTCTGCCATAACATGCACCTTCACCTGCCCTGTGCAGTCCGTCCTGTTTGTGCAGGAGGGAAGCCTGCAGTGGTCACCGCTGTGACACTGAAGTGGTCTGTTGTCAGTGATCTGTGAGATAGGAAAGATAAGGAAACATTCTCTCAGGGAAAGTTAGAAGATAACCTTCAGTTACATCTGCTCTACGTCACATCTTTCCTCGGAGTCAGCTTGTGTCAGCCCCCTGCTTAACCTGTCTGTTTAGAAGCAGCAGAACTTGGTCATACCAACCTCTTCCTTTGCTTCTCCTCCAGTATTCGCATCTCCCTGGTACTGGCATCGACTCAGTGCTACTCCTGAACCCAGACTCTTCTTGACCCTTTGCTTCTCCTCCCACTGTCCAGTCCTGCAGTAATTCAGGCCGCTGCATCTCCCACGCGCATCTCCGATCCGCCCACTGCTGCCTTTCCACCACCATCCTGTGTCCACATTACTTTCATCCTCACATGTGGACGTGTCCCATTGTCACCTTCTCCCTTTTCCACTCAATGGCCAAAATGACCTTGTTATTTTTAAAACATTAATTTTGTCATGTTACTTTGTTTTTCTTGCCTTAAAACACTTTGATGACTCCCACTGTCCTTCATATAACATAAAAGATCCCCAGCACAGTGCCTCGAAGGCCAGCCCCAGGGACCCGTCCCTCCACGTCTCTCCTTGCCTGCCGCTCTGCTTTAGTTTCTCCACACCCCCTAGTCTTCCATTATTCTGTTTCTAGCTTCAGGGATACACTTTCACTCTGTACGATTAAGGACGAGGCTCTGGTAGCCTAGTGATAAGGAGCTGTGCTGCCATCCCAGAGGCACGTGGTTTGGATCCACCAGCTGCTCCGAGGGAGAAGGAGGAGTGATCTCCACCTGTGCCGTTAACTGAAAACCTGGTGGACGGTCAGCTATGGAGCGGCTTCGAGTCAACAGGACACAGTGACGACAGCTCGTGCACAGTTAACTCTTGCTTATCCTTTAGAACTCGCATTGTGTGTTTTCCCACCCCCTCCCTGTCTGCTTTCCATCTCTCCCTTTTTTCCCTTGCACTTTACCCTTCACTTCCCTTCCTAGCGCAAGCTGTTTCCATCTCCTCACCTAAGTAAGACCTTTCCCCAGTTAACGTAAGCCCCAGGATGACAAGGACATGCATGCCTTTTGTGCCTGTGTGTGTCTCCAGGATCAAGCTAGTGCTTGGCATGTACTCAGAGCTCAGTAACTATTCATCCAATTAATTTAAGACTTCCTAACTTCTGTAATGATGACGAGATCCCAGGTATCTGGTGTCAGAGGTTTCTGGATGGTGCCTGTGGTTTGCACTGGATTACTCACCGTTGGCCAGGTAGTAAGGAGGTATGCTACCAACACAAAGCAGGTGGTTCAAATCCACTGACTGCTCCAAGGGAGAATAATAGGCAGTCTCCTCCCTTGTGGTTAACTGCTTCTGAAAACTCACTGTAGGTCCAGCTATGAGCCCGCTGCAATTCAGTAGTATGTAACAGCATTTACCTAAAGTTTGGTGGTTCAAACCTATCTGGAAGCACCATGGAAGACAGGCCTGGCAAACTGACTCCACAAAGATTACAACTAAGAAAACACTAAGGAGCAGATGTGCTGTGATACAGGGGTTGCCGTGAGCCGTCACTGGCACTGGTAGTGGTTGTGGCTTACGTTGGCTTGGGTTGGGTTGAGTTTATCTGGCTCAAAGTCCTCAAGCACCATCTGCGATTCTTTTCTCTCTTTCAGGTCTTGGATGTGCTGGATTTGTGTGTGGTAGTTTTGCAGTCCCACAAGAACCAGCTCCTTCCCTTGGCTCATCGCTCCTGGCCCTCGCTCGTGCACCGACTCACAAATGATGACCCCCTAGCAGTGCTGAGAGCCTTCAAGGTACTGACTGAGGCCCCGGCAGCGGCCTGTTGGACATGTGGCGGGTCCTAAGCACAGAGCCCACCAGCATCTTACAGAGTTAGTTCATTGTTCATCTCTCTGCAATGTTCTGTGCCTTGTAGGAGGTGTGGAAAATACGAGAAGCACAAGAAGAGTCTCTTGACTCTGAGGTACAGCCAACTAGTAGTTGAGAAAGGGCACTGGTATTTATTGAGCAATGTCGCAACAAACTTGCAAAGTTGGTTCTGTTACCTCCCATTTTTTGGCAGAGATGGAAACAGGCTCAGAAAAGTTAAGGCATTTTCTCAAGGTCCCACAGCTAACAAATGACAGAGGCCAGATCTGTTAGTTTAGTCCTTCTTTCTTTGTTGTATAGGAGTTGAGGTGAAGGCCCTAGGTTTTAGCTATCAGTGTCTCTGCTCAGCTAGGTGACTTTTGAGCAAAAACTGTGGCCCACATTTTTAGTTTGGGCTTAGGAATACCTGTCCTTTCTGGTAGCTTAGTGCTAAGGAGTTGGTACTGCCAGCCCAAAGGCTCAGGGTTCAGATCCACTAGCTGCTCCACGGGAGAAAGATGGGCACACAGCAACAACAACTTCTTTCTCAGGGAGAGCTCTGGTGACCTAGTCCTTATTAGCATGTTGTGCTGTGAACCCAAAGGCTTCTTGTCTCCTGTGGCTTGAATCCAGCAGCAGCTCTTTGGAGAAAAGGTGACAATCTGCTCCCATAGAGATTTACAGCCCCAAAACCCAGTGGACGGTCACCAGCAGTGCATGATAATGATCTTTTATATAGTGTTAAAATAAAACATAAAATGAGACCATTTGGCAAAATGCTTTGAAAAGCTAGAGCCGTATACATAGATACAAGTGTGTATTATTGCTGACTCGGTTTGGCTTCTATTAGCACAGGGGTCTTATTGATGATACCCTTCGCTGTTTCTCAGAAGCACTTAGGGCAACCTACAGAGATACATTTCGCATGGCAAGCTCACATAAATTAGAAGTAAGTGAGCGAGAGCAGGCAAAGAGATAAAACGTGCAGGGGCATAAAATGAAGCCAGAGACATGACTGATGCATCTGGCAAAAGGATTTTGATTTTCTGTGTCTTCTGCATATACTGGACCAAAATGCAAGTTTACATTTCAAGCAAATACATAATTGTTAACCTTTTTCCAAAACATAATATACAAAATGATATACAAGTGTTTCTTTGCGCGCACGCGCGCGCGCGTGTGTATGTGTGTTGTGTGCCCGTGCACACATTTAAACAAGGGGCATGCGGGAGGGAGGGAGATGCTGCTAAATCTTATTCAGATGAGCTGTTTTCCTTTATGGAAATTAATAGGTTATCTGAAGTGACAGCAAGAGCAGAAAATGAAAAATATAAAGATGCATGTGCCGTGACTGGGCGGCTGCTCTTTCCACTCCAGACACGTTGATGACACCCGGGGTCTGTGCCACCTCGCGCAGGCCAGCCGAGGGCCCTGAGAGCAGCGCTCGTTCTCTGCCGAGTCGGCACACGCTCTGCGTGCTGGTTACGCCTTGCTTACCAATTTTTACAGAAATTCCTTTTATCCCGTAGACGCAGTCTTGTGCAGCGGGGCAGAGCATTTCAATATGTTCTGCTAGAGAAAGTTTAAAACAAGAGACATGCAAGGAAACTGCCTGTTGTGGAAGATGGGGGAAAAGCAGTGTGCTGAGGAGATCGCGCCGTCGAAAGAAAGCCGACTCAGCGCCGACCCCCAGGCACCCTGCCTGACTCAGCCAGGGACCCTCGGCCCTTTCACTGACCCCCTGCTGCCCGCGCTGGGTAGCATCTGTGTCTCAGCGCATGTGTTTGTTCAGCTAGCTAGAGTTAAAAACACAAGCAGGGATGGTAGGAAGATTTGAGAAATGATCTGTGTGAACTGCTTTAAGCTCTTCTTTTTTTTTCCCCTCCCAAACAGGAAAAAAAAAAGGGAGGAAAATCAAGGTATTAATCATTTTATTCATCCAACCCAAGATTCCTTTGAATTATTCTCCGTGTAATCAGTATTTATGGATAGAAGCAGCCATGCCTTGGGAGCAGAGACCTCCAAATTCATAACTGTCAGAATCACAAACCGTGGGCAAGGAATTAACAGCAGTAATTTTATTTTTTTTTCCTCTCTCCCAAGCAAAGGCCTAGATGAAATTACATTCCCAAGCATTCTTTCACTCTGTCGCCACCTTGGCGATGTTCAGTCACTGGGTCGGGGGCTGTTTTGTGCAGGTTTTGCGGACCCTGGCAAACACGTGTGGCGATTTCCTCCGGAGCCGGTTCTGCAAAGATGTCCTACCGAAGCTGGCAAGCTCCTTAGTCAGCCAGGCGCCCATCAGTGCCAAGGCCGGCCTGGTTTACTCCCACACCCTGGCCTTCAAGTTGCAGCTGGCCGTCTTGCAGGGCCTGGGCCCCCTCTGCGAGAACCTGGACTTAGGTAGGTACTAGCTGGTTGTCTTGAACCCATACAGCCTGCCAGTCCCTCTTGTTCTGCACTCACAGCTCAGCCCTGCCTGCCTCACCTCCCTGCACATGCGCATCCTCCAGTCTTTTTGGCCTCACTGACCCATTTACCCTGATGGACGTTTTGGATCCGAAGGGCACGGTAAAGAGCCCCTGGCCCCTTTGTGTGTCTTTTCTTGCCTCACCAGAGAGCAATCAGTTACTGTTTGTCCCAAGTGAAGTCCAAGGGCCAGTGCTGTTTTGTTTTCCTCTCTGTAGGTGAGGGTGACCTGAATAAAGTGGCTGATGCCTGCTTGATTTACCTCAGCGCCAAACAGCCCGTGAAATTACAAGAGGCTGCCAGGAGGTAAGACTGCTTGATCACCCGCATCTCTTTGCATTTGTTCTAAATTATAGATGATTTGCTAATGGCGAGCAGAGTCGCAGCATCTCTGCTCTTTCCTCTCCTCTCTCTTGCCAGGTTAAGATGATTTCTCTTAACTATGCCAACTCGAGAGGTGGTATTTTTACTCGATGGTTTTGCCATGCACGTGACCTTGTCTCTAGTGCAATGTCAGCAACAATTCCAAAGGGGCAGAAAGCTGAAAGACTGTGCTCAAGTGGGCACAGCGCGTCTGGTTGGCGAGTGATCGCGTCCCCAGCCCTGCTCGTCTGGTGGTTAAGTGAGCCTGGCTCTTCTCTGGAAAGCAGAAGCGTTGGGTTACCGATCTGACGCACCTCAGCTCCAGCCATCTTCTTAGATGCTGCCATACACTGAACCCTTGCGCATTTTGTGCCAGGCTGGGTGTGGGTGCCAGCAGACACATCTGTGCATTTTGATAAACAGAGTCCACAACCGCCATCCAATTCTAATAGGAGTGTCAGTGACCCAAAGGATGTTGGGAACCACAGAGCTCATGGCCTCCAGGGTGTCTTCTGGCTGTGAAATCATGCAATTCTAATTTCCAAGAACTTTGACCATGCTACACCATCTCTCTAGGGAGCTCTGGTGGCCTAGTGGTAAAAGGCACAGCAGTCCCAAAGGGAGATGGTTCAAACCCACCAGCAGCTCCTCAGGAGAGGATGGGCAGTCTCCTGCCAGCCATACGATGCACTGCCTCTGAAAACACACCAGAGGGTCAGCTATGGGTCAGTTCCCACTTGTTGGCACACAGCCACGACACAATACCATCTCTAGTGGAAGTGCTAAGGAGTTTTTCTCCTAAATTGAAACTGAGTCCAGGCACATTCTCTAAACTTGAGAGCCCAAGTGGAGCCCGGTGCCCTCTCCCCAGCTTGGCTTTGAGCTGGGAGCTGCCCGGCCTGGCATGGCACCGCACCCTGCCCAGCCCTGCAGCTCTGCATTCCAGAGCAGAGGGGCAGCGCTGCCCTCTCCCTTCCTCGGCTCACAGGCTCCTCATCATCCGTGGTGGAGATGGGAGTCGTCTCGTTACCTGAGGGGATGAGAAGCTGCTCTGACTGGGAAATGAGGCAAACCGACTCGCTCCCTTAGAAACCTTGCACCTCCCACATGCCCTGGCAGTGATGGGAATATCTTTTTCAATTGATTTATTGTCCTTTGCAATTTTTTCTCTCGATTTCCTCAGCTCGCTTTTTTTCTTTCTGTCCTTCTCCCCGTCACATCTCCTAGGGCCAGAATCAGTCATGGTTTCTGAAGCACAAGGGCGCATCCCAACAAGCTTCTTGTCCCTGGGCATTCTTAACTCCTTAAAGAACCAACTGTGGGTGAAAGCAGGCCCCTGAAATTGCCCCTGAAGCTAACTGTTCTCTACATAGAGCCTGACTCAAAATCCTGCAAACAGATCTTTTTCTGGGGCCTGAGACAACCAAGTTAACAAGATCCAGTCTCATATTCTCCACCCCATTGCACCCTGCCTGCCCCCAGCCCACACCTCCGCTTCAAGCTCAGACCCATCAAACAAGTTAATTTATTATCTTCTCATGTCTAATTCTCTTATTTTGATTCTGAACGCACTTGAAGCCAGGGTTGGGCCTTGCCAGTGGGTTGGTTGGTATTCAGGATGCCTCTGGAGGAGGAAAATGCGGCCAGACCACTGGGCTGCAGCCTTTGTTTGCTCTTCTGCAATCCTTTCAGGTAGAGTTAGATGCATATCCTGGAGCTGGGAGGGTGAGGTCCGCTCAGGCGTGTTGCAAGCCTGATTACGTCACAGCCACATCATTTGCAAACTTGGAATTAGCAGTGCAGCTCCCTTTGGACTGTGCCACCAGTGCTCCTTTGCAAACTTAACTTTGAAGTCAAGCAAAATATACCAGTGCTGTCCTTGATGAAGAGCTGATTCAACATCTTGACGTAAAACGTAATAAATTCACTAAACAGGAGAACCGCGGGCCACTTGTTCTCAATGTGAGCCTCTTTCAGGTGTGACAAGAAGGAAAGGGGTGGAGGCACTGAGACGGCCACACGTCCTGGTTTGAGATGGAGTCCTGCTCCACCATCCCTCCAGTCCATCCTGAATGCTCCATTTTCCTTCATTCCACACTTCCATTCCAGAGGTTAAACCTGCCGTCTGGCTAAGAGCTAAAGTGGTAAAGAGTTGCGCTGCCAGCCCAAAGGCACAAACTTCGAATCCTCCAGCCGGAGCAAGATGAACAGTCTCCTCCCGTGCAGTTTTCTGCCTGTGAAAACCCACTGGAAAATCTCTCCCAAAACTTCCTTCTCCTCTTCATCTCCAAGCCACCCCGTCTCTTCTTACCTGAACACTTGCAGAAGCCTCCTCCTGTCCCGTTTCCATCCCTGCCCCCTTCTAATGTTCTCTCCACTGCAGTCTGTGAGACAAACACAAACGCTTATGCAAGAAGAGGAAGCCACTATGTTCTTGCAAGTGTCCAGGGGGCAGCCTTTGTAGCCAGAGGGTTACCAGAATCAAGCCTTGACTTGAGCACTCAGAGGTGAACCAGCCCACCTTAGGGACAGCGAGTTGCTGATCACTGGGCAGACAACGGGCCTGGTGTGGAATTGGCCTCTCTCTCTTGTCTGCGGGAGGCTGGTGGGAAAGCCTGGAGGCTGAGATGGCCGCCAGCTCAGAGCCCTCCAGCATTCTGAAAGGAGCAGGGAATGGGTTGGTGCTGTCTCTGAGATGCCTGGTTGGACATCCAGGGCAGCTTCAGAAAAGTCCCTTCACATTATGGTTGGGGTTTTTTTTCTTTTTCCCGTTGGCTTTTCCTGACTCTGAAGAATAGCCATGCCTATGTTTGCTTTTTTTTTTAATTTGTCATATTAAATATAGCCTTTGTGGCAGGCTTTTACATCCAGGCTGTAAACTCTAGAAATGGAAATTGATCAGGGGTGGTTGATATAACCAAGGCTGTAAATGCTAAGAACGGAGATGCCATTCCAGTTTAATGCTTTTATCTAGCGAATGTGCCTTGTAAGGAGGGGAGCATAAATCTTGTAAGTGGGGAGAGGGGGGTAGGGGCTGTAACCTTGCTGTGTGCTACCACCAGGTGTCACTATAAACTGGTGATGCAAGAAAAGCACCATCTTCCCCCCAAAGTGTTTCTAGTTAAAAAAAAACAAAAACCACAAGAAAACAACACTTCCACGGATAACAAATGAGAAAATCATATTTGAGGACTGGAAGAGGAGTGAGCTGTAAATAAGGCAGTATTCCCCAAGGGTAATCCTTAGATTACAGAATAACAGGTCGTATCATCCAGGCCCCATCTCAGCCCATCAGAGAGGCAAACTTCTCTGATTTCAATTCCCAGGCGGGCCTGGAAGCTTCCGCGATCACTCCCGGCATGCACTGGGCCTCCACGGCTCTGTGCCTCTCTGACCACAGAGCTGTTCCTCCCAAACATGAAAGGAATCTCAGATAAGCGCACACTCCCCAAATGTCTGTTTTCCCTTCAAGCCAGTACACACACTCAGCCTCGTTAAACTCGTCTTAGTAAAACCACACTCTTAAGGGCTGATCTCTTAGCAGCCTCTGAGGCACACTGCCTTTTGCAGTGAGGTTTTAAATGTCAAGGAAGCCTTTCTACCCTGGGGCTGAAAGGAGACTAAACTAGGCAGTACCTACTTTAAAAAGATGAAGTCCTTGCCCAGCACGGTGGGCTCACCGCAGAGGAGCAGCGCTCCCAGGCTGCTTAATCCCCACCCCAGTCCTGCCCCGCCCGCCAGCCCGAGAGCCCAGGTGGACCTGCAGGGCACAGCAGGTAGTGGCCAGCTGGTGTACCTTCTGGTTGTGCAGGTCCTGATGCTGTTGCTGCTGGAGTGCTTGTTGTGTGTGCGGAGGGGGTGTGGTGCCCTCTCAGATTCCTTTGCCTTCACATGAGGGCAAAAGATAAGAGCCTTGAAGTTGGAGAGACCATGGTTCTGAACTTATGAGCCAGGTGACCCTGAGCGGATAGCTCAGTCTCCTTGAGTGTCATTTCTTCGTGCTGTAGAGCAGTGGTAACTCCTTGACAGTGCTGCTGGGCAGGTGACTGGTATTATGTGCAGGGGGTCCACTTGGTGGTCAAGCATTCTTCGGAGCAGTTGAGCACCTGCAGTGTGCCAGGCCCTGCCATAGGCACAGAGAATAGAGGGGAACAAGACCAAGGAGGTCTTGACCTTGATAGTGCTGATGTTCCAGATATTTATCATATGTCCCTGTGCCTGGAAGGTGAATATTTATCTCTCGTGGTGGTGTACTGTTGAGTCAACACTGACTCGTATCTGACCAAACCAGCAGGTTTTAGAGGCAGTTTAATTGCAGGAGGAAAAGGCCCATCTTTCTCCTGTGGAGCAGCTGGTGAATTCGAACCACATACCTTTCGGATGGCAGTGCAGCTTCTTGACCACTAGGCCATTAGAGCTCCCTGTTATTACCTTCCAAATAGATATTATGTGTGTGATACAAATGTACAATTGTAGCTGTTGTTGCCAATGTATTTATTTGTATACAAATGTGTGTGCAGGTATTTTAAAACCACTCTGCCATTGGTCACCTCCGACTCAGTACCACACCTGTCGTGCAGAGTAGATGCCCCAGAGGGTTTCCAGCTAAATCTGTGCTGAAGCAGCTGCCTCCTCTTTCTGCCTCAGAGCAGCTGGCGAGTGCAAACTGCCAACGTTTTGGTTAGCAGTCACGTGCTTTAACGACCGTGCCACCAGGAGTGCCCCTTTAAAAAAAAATCTGTGATTATCCCTGTATATAAAACATGTCTGTTTCTTGTCATCGGCATCCTGACTACTGACATTCACACCTGAATGTTCACGCACACACACAGATCTTCACAGCTCTTGTCCCACCTCATCCCATCCCCATCCATTTGTGTGAACAGCCAGGACCAGCTTTGAAGCCTCATTTGCTGACTGACTTCCCCGCTTGCTCTCTAACA